ACGCCAATTTCTACACGGGACCTCGGTTTTTCGTCTCATCCGAATGACTAGACAGCTGTCCTTGTCAGGCCCTCCATCCTGCATCACTGACAAGGGGAAACCACACCGGAAAATCTGAATGAACTTTTTCGGCCAATGCAGGGATCGAACACCCGACCTCCAGGCCAACGAGCCAGCGTCTTACCCACTTAGCCACATGATCCCCCATTATTGAATAAAATATTGTTTAATCTAAAACTATCGTAACGGCATTGATATTTGGACATGGATTCAAATATACGGAAACGTTTGGGTTCTAGAAAATTTAATAGTCCTAACCAATCTTCAGTCGAATCCTTATTCATCAACGTTCATCGGGACAACGGACAAGGTATAGTCGTTCGGATGGGATAAAAAATAAACGAGGTTTCATGTCCGGAACTTTTTTATGTATGGCTCCCCCTTGTCAGTGGTGAAGGACTGGGGGGATAACAAAAACAAGGCCCCGTGTCCGGAATCGAATTGAAGTGGGAGCAACGGTGGCTCAGTGAGTATGACGTTTGCTTTCCAACTTCATCAAAGTTCATCTGGATTTTTCGTGGTGGTTCCCCCTTATCAGTGGTGTAGGACGGAGGAACTGACAAGGCACAACGTATAGTCGTTTGGATGGGATAGAAAAAGAGGTCTCGTGTCCTTAATCGAAATGAAGTGGGGGCTACGGTTTGCTCTCACCAAAGTTTATCGGGGTTTTTCATGCGTGATTCCTCTTGTCAGTGGTGTAGGACGGATGGCCTGGCAAGGGACAACGTATAGTCGTTCGGATGGAATAAAGAAAAAACGAGCTTCCTGGTCCGGAATCGAATAAAGTGGGGGCTACGGTGGCTTATTAAGTAGGACGTTTGCTCTCGAACTTCATCACAGTTCATCGGGTACACATTGGAGTGGGGGGAGGGGGTGTGATCTGTCATTGATTCAGATGGCTCGGTTACGATTCGCCGCTTGAACGTGACAAGGCTTAGGGTCGTCTGTCCAACCGTGTGGGGTTTCTCCGGGTTTCCCCCACTTCTAAAGACCCCTACACACAAGCGAATTATTGAAATAAAATTGTTAATCCCGAAATGACCTGTTTTGTGTCGAGTGTTAAACGATGTGTTCCCACTTAGCCGGCAGACTGTTAATCCTTTGATTGATCTTAAAACTATAGTCTGTTTAAAAGTAGTCACTCAAGAACTGTTCACTAGTGTTCAGCGTTAATGAGCTCTTAATCCCTCTTAATAAAATTTATTAACCAACTAATTAATGACATTTTGAACACAGTTCATGCCGGCGTTATGATTTCAAACATGAATTCAATTCACCATATTAATATAAATAGATGGTCGATCTGTGTAAAAATTATATTTGTTTAAAATGGCAAACGTTCAGGTTAATATTCGCTTTATCTCCAATAATCGAGGTGGCCGATATTTAATACACAATGGTTACAAGTTCAGTATAAAGTCAAGCAGACCAAATGCCGTCCATTGGAAATGTTCTACAAAAACTTGTCCAGCTACTGTAAACACCAAAAATGATGTTAAATGTGTAAATTGTAATGCATTTTTATATGTGTAAATCATTTAATGTTATTTAATAAATATTAAATTTGTTAAAATCAATATATTTTTATATGTGTAATTAAGCTATTTAATGTTATTTAATAAAAGTTAAATTTGTTAAAATCAATACAGTTTTAGTCTTAAAAAAGATATGGACTATAGTTTATAACACCATTGTTCTAGGATTAACTCTGGATTAGCGGCAAAATTTGACATCAAAGCCTGCCGGCTAAGTGGGAACACCCCTGTTAAACCCCATTTATATCTTCCCCGCTCTCTCTCTCACACACACACACTCTCTCTCTCTCTCTCTCTCTCCCTCTCTCATAAGGTCTTTCATTGAGTCAACTGGCGCGGTATCGATTCCTTCTTGTGCGTGACAAGGGTAGGTCGCCTGTCCAACCTCGTGGGTTTTCTTCGAGTCCCCCGCTTTCCTCCTACTGTTAAATACCCTTTAGGTACTTTTTGATTTAGCGTGGCCGTACCTTTGAAACCACGAACTTCGCCTCGAATCCGGATGCTGTAAACTTTGAGGTGCGATAACTCGATAATGCAACATAGAAAGTTCATGAACTTTGGCATGTTAATACTTAGTCCTCTGTCAATGTGGAGATATAAACATCGTCGAGCCACCAAAGCTAGTTTAGAAGAATATGCATGTACGGTGAGCCTGCCCTAATCCCATTTTCTGATATTAATGCGCGTGTGATTATTTACATTTAAATTTCTTTCAGTTAACGTCTTCCAGGGGTCTCAATCATTTTTATGAAATGTGTATGTTGACGTCATTTAACGTCAAAATAAGACGTGATGACGTCATGAGGTTCATTTATAGTAAATTCTGACTTGATATTCTGACTCGCAAGGGTCATGTGTCTATCTGTAATAAATTTATTAGGTGAAGACTCCATATTAAAGGAGTTATGAGACTCGAAAGGTACATTTGGTAGCCATTTTGAATTTATGTAAATTAGGCCCTTTCCAAAGGGAACTTTGGATATGCTGTAGAGGATGATCTAAGGAACACCACAGGGTACCAAGAAACCTTCTGTTACAATATTTCAGGTCAGCTCTTATTTTGATAAGACTATTATATAAATACATTTGTATCTAGTGTGGTCACTTTGGTTTTTTTTTTATTAGTTCAATGGTTTGATTAATCTCTACAGTCACCCTGGTGACGTTTCTTCGACTTAATTCGGCGGTTAACATGTTTGTTTTTCGTACAGAACTATCACTAATGATTCAAACTAAATAATATGTTAAATCCGTTTTGGATTTTTCAAGCATTACACGGACCAAAATTAATATACTGTAAGTTTCGTGTTTTATGTCCATTAGCACAATATCAAAACTTGTCAAATCCCCTCCCATATTTTTCTTGATTAAGACTTACAATTCATCAAGGTGAAAAAACTAAACTGGATGTAGGTAACATATAGGGGAAAGTTTTACATAAAAATGTAGACTGTCGTCTTCGAACTTCAGGGTTATGTTTAGTATATTTCAACTTTAGAATAATCACTTCTGTTTCATACATTTTATTTTATTTAAAAATATATATTACAATATCAAATAAACACGTATCCACATGATTTGTACTTATAAGCATATAAGCGCCACAATTCGACCTTTGCAAAAAAAAAAATCAAACGTACAATCCCAATTTTCGTCTTCGGCCTGCTCATATGCGAAAACTTAGTAAGCAGAAAACTCGACCAAATAGGTCCGACAAGTCCGTAAAATTAGAGAGTTTTAAACCTTACCCTCAAAGATAGAAACTTTCTTGAATTATTGGTCTATCTTTACAACTCCATTAGACAATCGTTATGTTTATTAAAGATGCATTATGTAAGAGCTAAATCTGCTGAAGGTCTTTATTTTGGCTTCAAAGGTTATATAAACTATCATTTAGGCATTTATTCATTCACTCTCTAAAGCATCGGGTGGTGGAGATTTAAACGGATTAAAACACGGTCGCCATTTAATGATTTAATTTAACAAGTACACTTGTTGCGATAAAAAACGGTCCATGCCATATCTTGTCAAAACTTCGAACGGTGATAAGTTCGCTCAGAATAAAGTAACTTAAAAGAAACTTTCAATATATTCATTTAGCATTGTCTATTTTTAAACTATGATAGCAATAACGGCCAGCTCTTTATCTAAAACTTACATAATGCATTTTTAATAATAATCAATTGATTTTGAGTGACAAAACACGTCTAAGTAAAGTATCACCTGATTTAGAAAACTTACTTTTGGGGTTATTTTTATTATAAATACCATATGATCATGTAGAAATTGTACAATGTGTATTTAAAGGAATGTAACATTTATCATCAAATGGCAAGAACACTCCCCATTGAGGGTACTAAAAACTTTAACAAGATAAATATATATATTTACATTAAAACATATAATTAGTGTAGTCTATTAAATGAGAAAACAAATTAAAAGTTTCACACAGCTGAAACCTAAAGTAGCACATTTCCAAGGTGCCAAAAGGGGGGCAACTCTAATCACACTCTTAAAAACTCAAAACGCTGATAATGAAAAGGTTTTTTTTTTAAAAAATATAACTGTTTTGCAATGAACTTTGGGCATTATTCAGTCGTGGGAAATTATATTATATAGATTTGTGTAGCTTTTGTAAGTTGACACTGATTTATAAATCTTGCTGTCTGATTCAGTCAATACGTTGAAGAAAGAAATAAAAACAACCTAAATCTAATACACTTTCAATTATATCACTATGAGAAAAGTAGGCCTACATTAACCTTTAAGATCCTGCTTCTGTTGGTTACCCAATAATACGACTTCTGAAAACTTGAGCACTGACCACCTACAATAAGTACGTAAAGGTACATAATACTATCTTAAAAGATAAAATGAAGAAACACCATTGTTAAAGAAACAAGTTACCAAATAACAGAGATTGGTTTTTGAATCGTTGGTACGTTGATTCGGGTCACCTCGATTATGTCCATGGAAGAAAAGTTTCCGATGATAATTTATTCAAAATGCCAGCACCTTATACCATTGATGTTAACCCATCCAATTTTCTACTTTTTGATTGTATACGAGCCAATTCCAGTTTTATGACAATAAAACATTTTATTTACTACCTTATGTACATATATTACTTTACTGTAAATATTCGAAATGAACCACGTAAGCTCTCGATTCGTCAGTTAGTCTCAAAAGCACCTCACCCACTGATAATCACGTCGGAGTTTGTTAGAAAACCCACTTCATATTTTAAGATCAGTCTTAAAGGTATTGCATAGATTTTTAGGAAGTCTATTTAAAGAAATGATAAACCACACTTCAAACATCAACTGATTCTTCTATAGAATTTAATTTTTGATGTTCTTCTATATCTTTCCATCTAACAGACGAACCATCTTCAATGTCTTCCTCTTCTAAGCGGTTTCGGTTATTATTATAAATCCTGTGTTTCCAAACAGCACACCCCACGATACCCATGAAACCCAGATAACCAAAAGCTATAAAAATGGCCACGATACTGTCAGTTCGTATGGTGGGAATAGTCTTCATATTTACACATTTAAAATGAGAAACAGTTTCATCTATATTAACCGTTATCACTTCAATACAAATACTATAAACTGTATCCGGTTGCAGATGTTTAAACTCAAATTCGTTTACTACATCTCCTAAATTATCAGAGATAAACCGACCGTTCGTGTTCATAGCAATATAACCAACCACTGTTTCTTGGTGAGTACCATTAAAATCATTTTTTAAAAAATTCCACTGAATAGCGATTGATGATGGGGTTGTTTCTAACTGTGATATTGTCATTCTTTCCGTAGCATCAATCACCATTGAAACGGCATTGTTAGGCAACAGCGGGCGTTTGGAGGATGTTTTGATATTGTAGTTTATTTCATCATCTGCCAGACACCCAAGCAGAAACAAAACCATCAGCAAGTTAACATATCCTAATTCAATATCCATTTTATCTGAAATATATAATGAAAACGTAATAGGATCATTAGAAAAGCCAATTTCAACGGCAAACGCCAAACCGTTTTTCCCAATTTTGTTAAAGATACTATATTTTATTATAACTTATACCATTACACCATTCATAATTCATGGTTAGGTCTTAAATTCAGATGCACGATCTGCGACAATATCAAAACCCTCACGACTTTATCAAAATTCTCAAAATTTATTATTCAGAACTGAAGACAGAAACAATTCTGAAGAAATTTTGTCTGTAGTACATAACTTCCCAAAGATTTTGAAAATTCCGTATGAAAACGTGTGAAATATAAATCTTCTGATTGTGGTTTGTACATATGTATAATGGTAGCCAAGGTTTGTTCCATTGCCTAGAAAACGATTGTTTAATGATTCGTCCAAATGGCTTTTCTAGTCTCCTAATTACAATCCGTTCGTTATAAGGAGTACTCTGGCAGTAAAATTGTTGAGTTTTTCTAAACATACAATATCAGAACTGTTGTATTGGATCAAAAAGTGTGCAGTAACTGTTTTTATACGCCCACATTTTTTTGTGGACACTCTACGGGTCACAATTTTTATTCCATTTTGACGAAACTTAAAATATAGGTCAATCCCCCAAAGATCTCGGTTCCTTTCGATGTTGGCATAAATCGGACCATTACTTCATGGATTATGGCCCCATGGTTGTACGAAAAATCACGTTTCTAACTTGTGGACACTCTACAGGTCACAATTTTCATCTGATTTTGATGAAACTTAAAATGCATGTTTATAACCAAAACATCTTGGTTCCTTTCGATATTTGCGCATATCGGATCGTAACTAGAGGTTACAATTATTATCCGACTTAAAATCGGAAAAAAAATTGTTTCCTCTAGAGAATCTGCTAGCTAAAAATGCGATTTTTGAACAATCAGGGGCCATAATCCAGGAAGTTACGTTCGGATATGCGCGATTATCAAAAGGAGCCAAGATCTTAGTGTGTAACGGTGATATATTGACACGATTTTTTAAATAGGTTAAAATTTGTGACCTCTAAATTTTGTACAATCAAGGGCCATAATTCAGGAAGTTACGATCTTGGTTGCTGTCGATATTCGCGCATATCGGATCGTAACTTCCCGAATTGTGGCCCTTGATTGTACGAAAAATCGCTTTTTGTTTAGCTTGTTCTTTATCCACCTCTTGCAAAATATGGGCGTATCTGCCTGGCAGCCGCCGGTAATACTAAAATGTAACACATGTTCTGTAGTTTGCAAACTAAACAAGCCAACAGCGAGGCTGATGTCCCCCGCCACAATCCCAAAATAAATAGATGACACATATTAATTAATAGCACATGTATTTTTGTCAAAAGTATCAAGCAATCAAACTGATTATCAGCTATACACTAAGTTTCATCACTCTCTATCAGATAGAATCAAAGTTATCTTGTCCCAAAGCATCGACCAATGAAATTTCTTAGCTCTGCTTAGTTTTAGCTCGAAATGTTTATCATTGACCTCAGTCAAGACATTCACCTACTTAAAAGCAGAGTTGTTATGTTCCAAAGTCTTGACCAATTAAATTCCTTATCTCTCCTTAGCCTAAGCAGAAAATTCTCATCATCGAACTTAGTCAAGGTAATGATATAATGAATCTATACTCGGAATTTCATCACTCACACTTAATTAAAACCAAAGTTATCGTGCCCCAAAGCATCAACCAATCTGATTTCTTATCTCTGCTTACCGTAAGCAGGCAATGTTTATCATCGAACTACATCAATATGGAGCCCAATCGTTGCCATATTAAGAGAAAATATAATAGGTTAAAATTTACAAATTATCATAGTCAGAATGGTAAAAATGGTCATTTTCGAGATTTTTCACTTGTAAATATCACATAACACAAAATCACTATATTAGTATCAAAACAAACCAAAAAAATCTAGTTATGTTTTTTCACTTTCTACTTTTTCGCCTTTGCAAATTCACTCAAACTTTTTCATCTTTGCATTTTCAACTATCAGAATTTCTCCATTGTAATTTCCACCTGAAAAATTTCTCCAATCGAACGGACAGAAGGCGTGGTTCCGGGTTCAGCCGAAGTTGACGTCATAAGACGTCAGCATTTATCGTCTCGGCTAAAATTACTGCTAAATTGGGTTATTCATAACTCTTAAATTGAGCGATTTGATGATATATTTGGCCTAAAAACATATTCAAACTAATTAATTGATCATAAATTTGCTTCAAATCCTTCTCAAAACATTGTAATTGTCAAGAAATACCCTTGCTATAAAAAAAATCGATTAAAAAAGGTCATGTTTGTGTCACATGACTTACGGGTGCGAAGTCGGTGGAGAAATCGCTGACTATTAGTACAAATATCGAATCCTAATTAAATTCTCAGATTATCCACTGCCCGCGTCTTTTTCCGTGATTTTTATCTCAGCTGGTGTTGTACATCTAACTCTTTATAAAGTTTATCAACATGTACATCAAGCGCTCAATCTCCGTCTTTTTCCGTGATTTTGATCTCGGCTGGCGTTGTACATCTAACTCTTTATAAAGTTTATCAACATGTACATCAAGCGCTCAATCGCCGCGTGCAACCTTTGACGTCACGCGTGCAGATATTCCTAATCGTCGGACTGTCGATTAGGGGAACCCTTACATTTTTGTCCTGTAATACGCTCCATGAGTGTTTTTCGGGGAATCCAGTATTTTTCTAGTAAGATTGAATATCTCTACTTCCCATATAACCACCCAATAAATACTTTTCTGGGAACAAATCTTTAAGAATTGTCCAATTTTATTTATTATTTTTTGGAGAAAAAAAAAACGAAATAAATTCGTTGTCATGTCAAACAACTTTTTGTTTAATGAGTTATATCATCGAATCTTGAGGTTTGCTCATTGTCTTAATAATAGAACGGATGAATCTTTGACAGAACATCGGCATGGATGTGAGCGAATTTCTGTCGTTATATCTGAAATAAGTGAAACTACAAAAGAGGTGCCTGGCTGCCTTAATCAATTAAGAAAAGCTTTACAGTTATTAGACGATGTAATAAATTGCCAACAAGATAATTAGGACATGGTAGAGAGTATCATTTTTCGTCAGGAAGAGTTGATCCACCAAAGTTTTTTATTCTACAAGAACAGTTACAATATTTAGTAGATAAACATCTGTTATTTGTAGAAAATATAAAAAAAAAATAAAATATACCCGATAAGAGGTATGAATTATTGTTTCACAGGGTCGGTGTCCCAGAATATGTCAATTTACCTTTTCAATTGATCATTATAAGGTACGATAGTTGTGATCGCAACACATGCAGCAAGAGTCTACCTGTGCACTGTCAATATTAAAATCTAATGGATTATGTAGTTGTCATTAAAACATGACAGTAAAGACATAAATTATGTGTTCTTTTCACATTAACTGGGAGTTAAATAGTGCGAAACTAGAAACAAAAGTTATATTAATTAAAATACAACTAGAAACAAAAGTTGTATTAAGTAAAATACAAGGTGGGCCTAATTAGGCCTATATATATATACCCCTCCGACAATACTCAAGAGTTAAAAAAAACAAAAACCTATATTATTTACGGTTGGATGGTATCATGTTAGTAATAGTTATTGAATTTTAACCATTAGTATTTTATACTTTTGCAAAGCAGAATTTTTTAAAACAAGTAACCGGTAGCCAGTATATAGGCCTAATAAGTTTTATGTGGTCTTCAAAAAAAATACAGATGTGACATCATCTTTTGACGTTGGCGTACTAGTACTTCAAATAAAGTACACGTCTATGGTACCTAAAATTAAAGATACATTATGGGAGATTCGGTAACGAGTTGGCAGTTCTCGCTATAATAGTTAAAAACTAGATAATGTAAAGGCAATTTGGTGAAAATTTCATTCAAATTGATCCACTATGAACCGAGAACTAAGCGACTGAAATTCCCATAAGCCTCGGTCATCATTACTAAAGTCAGTACGATAAACAGCATAGTCTCGATTATCCAATTAATCGTTTAATAGAGAAGGAAAGTTATGCAGTAAATCGGCTTACAATCCACTAAAGATCGCAGGCTAGCGCTGCCATCTAGAGTTGATTATGGCCTGGATAGGTTAATTAATGTCTAATTAATAGTTTAGATAACATTTCAGGCCTAAAGAAAGACCTGAAATAGGCAGATTTAGCTCTTGTATAATGCATGTTTAATCAATTACCTAAAAATAAGTTATTACGTTAAATATTGTTTTATATAATTAATTAATCACCAGGTGTTTTTATAAGTCAAAATCCGGTAGGCCTACAGCGCAGTAGACGCTTACGGCTGACCGCCGGGTCCATTCACTTGATTTGAGATGCTTATTGTTTGAAATATATGTGTAACCTATATTGTGTATCGTGTCCACGGGTTTGTATTGTGTAGTATTTTATGTGTGATGTGGTCCTCCCGCTCTTACTATTCTCTTAGATAACCGAAGAACTCCAAATGCATCAGTCGCTTATACCAACGTAGATTTATGACGTCGTGTGCCCATAGTCCCTATCAGGGAGCATTAATTTGAGTCCAGACGATAAAAACAGATGAGTTATGACGTCATCTTTGGTCGAACTCGGAAACACGCAACTTTCCTTATATGGTCAGTTAGATTGGAGAAATTGTGATAGTCGAAAATGCAATGGAGAAAATCTGATAGTATAAAATGCAAAGATGAAAAATTTACAGTGAATTTTCAAAGGCGAAAAGTAGAGAGGGAAAAAACATAACTAGATTTTTACATTGTTAATTTTTGTCGAGCAATTTTTGTTTTGATACTAATAGTGGTTTTCATGGTGGTAAATATCCATTAAAATGTTTTAACTGTTATGTAATATTTACGAGTGAAAAATCTCGAAAATGGCCATTTTTATCATTTTGACTATGATAATTTTGCAATTTTAATCATGATATTTTCTCTTAATATGGCAACGATTCGGCTCCATACAT